TTAACATTAATTACTAAATATAGGTTTATCTGATTTTACCTTTTTATTACAGAAAACTAAATATGCTTGGATCTGCTAATAAGCATGTCTTATGCTTTATTAAAAAGTTCTATGAAAAAAATCACATTTTATAAAATATAAAATATATTCATAATTTTGCCAATCTAAAAAATTCTGGTCTAATAGACCGTCCACAACTGGTTACTACTTAGTTTTCACTGGAGAAAGGTTTCTGAGAGTTAAAATTTTGATACATGTGATTGAGACAGCTAGAAATGGTAAGGAAAACAACTCTATATATAGGAAAATAGGAGATATGTAAGAAAGGCATGAGGAATAAAAATACATTTTTGTTGAGGGGAAAAGTAATTTTTCCTAAAATAAGACTGGCTATTTATAGAGAGGTAAGAGTTATGACAAAATTTGAATTAAAAAAGCAGTTAGAAAGTTTATGAAGGGAATCTTTGGAAAAAAATATTTATGGTCAGGACTCACTAAGATTGGAATAAATGAATTTTAAAAGAACAGTGATATAAGATTGGAATTTGTTTTTTCTCTAGAAATTGGCTTAACTTTGTTAAAAAGACGAAATTTATTTTACTGTTGGTCTGCTCTTAATAAGAAATTATAAACAAAGTATTTTATCTGCACAGAAAAACAAGGTTTCTATGTTTGTTTTTAATTAGGTCTTTGATTACTAAATCTTCTCAATATTAAAGGAACTAAGTTTTGATAACAACTATGTAAACCTTTATTTTTGCCTTTGGGATCTTATTGTCACCTTGGTTAAATAAATAATAAAATATAAATTTTATAGTGATCTATGATCTTATTTAGGCATGTAGTTTAGAATCTTCTGAGGTTCTTAACAAACTTCCTAAAAATTCAAATTCTAAATAAAGTCTTTTTGATTTATTAGTCTTGTTTATTTGGTATGTTAAGTTACACTGGAAGCATTGTCAAACAAATAATGATTAATTTTCTTAGGTTATATTATGTGGGTAAATGTCAGGATGGTTTTAAAAGTTATGTAAAATTCCTAAAATTTTAATATATCTTGGCATAATACATGTAATTCTAATTATTAAAATGTTCTGCATCACCGAAATAACTGCATTTCCTTGACAAATACATTATAATAAACTCTTATCAGATTTTTAAACATAGCCATTTCTGAATCTTTTGTCCCTTGCAATTATTCTGTTCTTGCAAAATGCATTTCAGCTTCAAGGAATTTCCTGAAAAGGACTTTTGACACATGCAGGTCTGATACTTTTAAGATCATAAAACTAAACTAAGAATTTCCAGAACTAATGGAAAAACTGCATTGAAACAGAGCAAGAATTAATAATATGGGACTAAGTAACTTAAAAAATGATTATATTTTTATAATTCTTATTTAAATCATTGCTATTTCTCTAATGTTTTCCAAATTTAAGGAATCTTTTTCTCTTAAGATATCTATGACTTACAGAAATTTGGTAAAAATATTATTTTGTAGGAACACCTAGGTGGCTCAGTTGGTTCAATGTCTGCCTTCAGCTCAGGTCATGATCCAAGGGTCCTGGGATCCAGTCCAGCATTGTGCTCCTTGCTCAGCAGGATGCCTACTTCTCTCTCTGTGTGCCCCTCCCCTGCTTGTGCTTTTGTTCTCTCTCTCTCTCTCTCTCTCTGACAAAAATAAATAAATAAAATCTTTAAAAAATATTATTTTGTAAACAAACTGAAATATTTATTTTTCTTGCTACCTGATCCCTGAAGAATTTGGAAACTCTCAAGGAATATTCTTTCTATCATGGTAATTATCATTATTTGCATAAATTCAATGAAAATGGGTACTCCTTATAACAAGATACCATTGGAAACATTGGTTATTTTACCAAGGCTTTAAGTGGAATGTCATATTTAAGAAAGACATACATAAACTCAGATATAACCAGACAGCTTTAAGGAACTAAAGTTGACTGTATGGAGCCAATAAAGACCCTTGGAAATGTTGGCCTGACACATTGCTTACAGAGTTCCCACCAGCCTTACTGGGTGAGTAAAAAATGTCAGTTCTTGGAAGGTGCAGGAATCTCAAGATATTTCAGGGACCTCAGGAAAAGAAGAAGTCACTCAAATCTACAGGTATTACAGGCAAATCTGATGACAAGTTTTTCGCCTGGCTTCTGGCCTTGAGAGGCTATTAAAAGTTTAATCTAAAATTCATTGTAAAACCTTCCACCAAAGCAGGTTTTAAAACAATCTCTATGGTCAATCACCATTTTTGCTGTACTTATGTAAACAATTATGTAAAAATTAATTAAATTTTTTAAAACTAAACTTATAAACAAATCAGTCTTAATTTGGCTATCTTTGACAGGAGTGAGGGTGACTTTAGAAAGAAAGATTATATCTCAATAACACACCTTCATGAATGTTAGATTCTAGTTCTGATTATCTTTGAGTGTTTGTTGTTTCCTTATAAAACTAGCTTGGATCTAAATTCTTCTGGTTTCCTCCAATATCTGGCTATGACTCTCCAAAATAAGGTTTCCAATGTTCTCCTATTCTCTTGTCTTAAAATAATTAAGAAATAGGGGCGCCTGGGTGGCTCAGTCGTTAAGCATCTGCCTTCGGCTCAGGTCATGATCCCAGCGTCCTGGGATCAAGCCCCGCATCGGGTTCCCTGCTCCGCGGGAAGCCTGCTTCTCCCTCTCCCACTCCCCCTGCTTGTGTTCCCTCTCTCGCTGTGTCTCTCTCGGGCAAATAAATAAATAAAATCTTAAAAACTAAAATAAAATAATTAATAAATAAAACTGCCCTTTTTCTTGAAGCCCTGAAAATTGAAGCTAGACAACTCAAGAGAAACTTCAGAGAAATTGCCACAATAGCTCTTATAGACAATCTTCATGCCTGTTGCTCTATGAGCCACTCAAAAGAATCACTGGAGACATTTAAACTATAAACCATAAAAATCCATCAGATTGCCAGTGTCTGCTCCCACTCCATCTGAAGATGCTTTGAGCCTGACATCTAAAACTCTTCTCTTTGGGACCCCTTAGAACCAGATACTGGGTTTATAATTTGCTCCAAGCATTAACCTTTGTTTTTTGTTTGTTTGTTTCCATAGACATTGGGGAGGATATGTGTTGTGGTGAGCACTGTGAATTGTGTAAGACTGATAAACCACAGAACTGTACCCCTGAAACAAATACATTATATGTTAATAATAATAAAAGAAAGTACAGCAACCTCAGTAATAGAGTATATTATATAGCTTACATACATTTGTGTTGCTATGCTTTCAATGTGTGTAGCCGCTATTAAGATTACTCAGATAAGGGTGCCTGGGTGGCTCAGTTGGTTAAGCGACTGCCTTCAGCTCAGGTCATGATCCTGGAGTCCCTGGATCAAGTCCTGCATCGGGCTCCCTGCTTGGCGGGGAGTCTGCTTTGCCCTTTGACCCTCCCCCCTCTCATGTGGTTTTATTCTCTCTCAAATAAATAAATAAAATCTTAAAAAAAAAAGGTTACTCAGATAAAATTCATCTGAAGGTATGGAAAAAAAAATAAATGCCTCTTATTAATTACCTGATTGCTTGCTGAACAAGGTAGAGTCTATATAATAGCTAACACCAATTGCTGTACCTATATTAACTAGTCCTTGGAAGTAAGAACCTAGAGAGACAAAATCAGGCAGCAAGCCACATGGCTGCAACAGGCCCTTGCCCACAACATCCCATTTTTCCAAGGTGGCTGGGACTAGTTTACTGATCTATTCTCTTTGATACTGGTCTATTCTCTTGGTGTCAGATCAGTTTTAGAGGGAATGATAAAATTGGGCTTAACTATACTGTTACTATTCCTTAGACTATACTTGGAGATAAAGTTAATGATGCCATGTAGTGCCAAACAATGTAGAAAAATGAGGTAAAAAAAAACTACCCCTGATACCCCTCCATGAGAACAAGGAACCAAAAGCTAAGTCCTGCACCCATGTCAAATCCTTCCATTCCAAAACCCATAGTCTGCCCTAATTCAGCTTGAAGCAGTTACAGATGATGGACCTCTATGTATGTTCCATAGAAATGGAATGAAGGATTGAAAGTGGGGATTTGTAACAGCACTCCAACTGGTCTTAAGTGTTAACTTACTTCAAGCTTATGCACTCCTTGTTTGTTGACCTAAGTCCCTTGGTTTATAATAGAATTAACCTACTTTCCTTGAGATTTTGCAGACCATTGGCCTTAAGGAATGAAGGACCAGACTATCCCAAAAGATAAGGCCTGACCACATTTGAAAACGGCTGCCCAGCAAGTCTATTCAAGGTCATGTTGACATATGATTAACTGCCTGAGCACAAGTTTCCCCTGCACATAGCCCCCACCATTTCCCAAACTTCTCTTTTAAAACCCTCTGGTTTCATCTATACTGGGGAGATGGTCTTCAAGACATTAGTCCACCATCTTTCCAAGATGCTGACTTTCTGAATCTTTCTTTTCCCACCATTACTTGTCTCTCAAGTACTGACTTTCACATGGCGAGCAGCTGAACCTCAGTTTGGAACCAGTTTTCTATCCTGTAGCACCAACACTTCAAGATTCTGTGTAACTGGTCTTTGAGCATCTAATAGGAACTTGCAGCAAGGCCCCTCTTCTATTTCTGTCAAAAATCAAATACGCTTTTCTTTATACAAATTTGCTAAACCCTTCTATTTATGATAAACCTTAAGTAAGTTTTCCTTGAAAACATCTTATTTTGCAAAGCAAATGCTCAAATTTAAAAACTGTTGCCATAAAATAAAAGTACCTATTAAGAGCTTAGCTAACACTAATTAAAGGATTATATCCCCATAAGTTAAGAAAAAATTGTAAAATTACATAAATTATGCTATTTATTAAAATTAGCTTTAGATGCACAAAATTAAATATTGCTTTAATTCCACCTTCATAATTTGGGGGGTGTTTAGAATATATTTTTTTGAATGATACTTTCTAAATTAATCATTCCTGTTACCTTTCATAGCATCCATGCCTCCCACCGCATAAAGTGCCCCCACAGTTGATTTTCTAGGCTTTGTCCGAGGGCTTTGCATCATAGGTCTTCTCTCAGGTAAGAGATGGTACTTCATAGCTTCCATTAGGAGCTTCTGACACTCAAGATCACCAGCAAACATAGAGCTGTTTTCAAGATCCACCAGTAACTGAAAAGTAATGATGCATGGTATATGAAGTAAATAACCTACCATTAAAAATAACATATTTTTGCTTATATAACCTTGGAGAAAACTTCAGCTAATTCAAATGTAAAAGTGTTAGTATTTTAAGTTACTTAGTAACATATGTTTATGTTCACTTATGATTTAAAATGATTAAAGATCTCATAGTAGTAGCTACTGATCTGTTCAGATTTATTTGACATATTATATATCTTTTGAATAGATACACATATAATATCAAGAAGTGAAAGTGAAAAGACACTTAGAAAATGGATTAGTGAAAGCAGTTCACAATGGGTTACTGAAAGCAGTTCAAGAGACTATCTATGTCTACACAAAACAAGCATCTTCCAGTCTACTGCATGTAGCCAAATAAGCAGCCACCTTATTGGTGGATTTAGAGAAATTGGTACAAGCATGCCCAGTTAAAATAAAGTAATATCACCCATAAAGAACTGCATCTTTATCATCAAATCACTTTTGTAAAATATTCTGAAAGTAGATGCTTTTTATCTGTACATGTACATGTGTACATCAGTAAAACATATGTGTTAGTGGGTAGCCAAAACATTAGCAATAGTAGATGATCAATCCTTTCTAACCATCATTGCCTGACAGACACTAAGACCCTCATTGAATGGGATAAAAGCTAAGTAAAATATTTTTCCTGAGGTGAGCTGAGGAAAAGTGAAGAGCTTGTTTCAGAATTTTACCAAGGGTCATTTATATTGGTTCATTGGAGTTTTGGGTCTACAGTATCATAGGACATTGAGAGGAATTGCAGTTTGAAGTGGAAATGCTAATCTCATCCCATAAAACTTCCCTGAAATTTCCTGTTCTCCAGTGCTTAATCCCAGCTTAGTTCTCTTATGGATCACTATTTTGACTTGGCTGGTGAGACCTCAAGCATTTCCTTAATGCATATGCTGCTGAAAATAAGTTTGAAAACTGAGTTATGTAACTTTATTTCAAAATATTCTTCAGGGATTTACCACCATTCTCTTCATATATTTCATTTCTAGAATATTTTTTAAAGTCACTATTAAAGTTGTTTTGGAAGGTCTATATTCTGTATGATATTACCCACCACTACCACCATTAGGAAAAGTTCACAACAGTCCACACTTTAGGCATAAGGCATACTCAGGGATGGGAGGCCAAAGACCATTGGTTGTGCGTTTGGGCTGGAAATTTCTCCTCATTCCAATAAAGTAAGACAAGTCCAAACTAACCAGTTTGCTGAAAGAACATATAGAAAAAGCAATATAAAGTTAAGGGCTTCTGATCCATTATACCAGTGCATCTCATTTTTTTTGCATATCTAAGAATCATCTGGCGAACTTATTAAAACATGGATTCCTTGTCCTCACCCCCATAAATTGTTTCAGTACGTCTGTGGTGGGGGCTTGGAAAATTGGGTTTCTAACAAGCTCTAAGGAAATACTAAGCTGCTAGCTCAGTCATTTTGAGTAGCACTGCCTTAGAGAATCTAATAAATCATATAGACCCTCTCATGAGAATAAGGCATGCAAGTGTACACACATTCATACAAACATAAAATTTCCAAAGATTCTGAACCTTGGTTCTAAAATTACATGTATATTTTAATGTTTCTCTTTTTGGTGTTACCATTGCCTTGCCCTTTGAATAAATTTGCTATACCCAAGAAAGCAGTCAGTGTTCTTTCATTGCATATGGATAAATTCTTCATAGTAAATATGTAGCTCCATGGATTTAATTAACAGATAAAAGTAAAAAAAAAGTAGAAAAATCATCAGTAAATTAATATTCTATTTTTCAATATTAGCATTTAATTGGTAATTTGTTGAAAATTGATTAATTTTAATGTTTATGAAACTACTGATCCACTAGATCTAGATGAAGCTCCTCCTTCCAATGTGGATGATGTTTGATGATTTTAGTCACAGGCTATATAATATATGAAATGTGCATATGTGCAATATATTTATATATATACAATATACAATTGATATCTACTGTTGATCAATTTGCTACAGAAAAAAAAATGTTATCACCAATGGTAGAAGTATATAATGAGACTGCACTCCAACCTCACTAAGCTTCACTTACTAAAATTCAGTATGAGGTAGGTCAATCCCAAATCATATCCAAGGGTGTTTGTTTTTAGAATCATTTTTACAGCATGTATGATAAGGATGTAATTATAATGATTCTGTAGTTCATCTGAAGCTACTTTAGTATGATTTCAATCATAGCAGGTAATTAACCATGTTAGTATTAGCCAGACTAACTCCTTGCTAAAGTCTACTTTGGGATGCTACTATATTGGTTATTATCAGCTTGCCTAGAAGGTGGGCAGGAAAAGAAAAAAAAGAGCCTAGTCATTTTCTCTGCTTCTTACAAGTGCTGTTTGATGAGGAAGAAACTGAAACTAAAGAATGTGCTTTCTTAGATTTTTTTTTAGGGATTATCTGTAGCTTTTTTTTATACTTGTTTTCCCTGCATCATAAATAGTGCTAATTGAAGGTTGGATATGTCCTTCTGTGAGACAAATACTATACACTCCAGTTAACAGAAATCCTATAAATAAAATAAAACTAGACAAAAAAGGAATGGATTTATGTTTAGTGGTAGTTTAGAACTATATGTTACCTGGGTAAATTTCCATACCTGTGGTGGAAGTAATGGCAGTCTGATATAAGAAAGCAACATTGCTAGGTCTCGTTGCCTAGCCTGCACATCATGCCCCACCCATTGCATTAGAGCGTGGAAAATTGTTTCTTCATCAGGCACATTAATGTCATCACTGCACAGAAGTTTTGAAATTTCATTAGCTGGAAGCAGGAGGAATTCTTGGTTCTTTATTACCTCAATGAAGTGTTCCTAGAAAAGAAAGGTTTTCTACTTAAACTTTCTACTTTAGAAATGTCCTAACCAAACAAGCATATGAACACTTTGCTTTGTTAAAATTCAGAAAGGACCAGAGGGACAGGTATATGCATTTATAACAAATAGGTGCCATTGCTGCCTGTGACAGAGGGCATAGGGAGTCTTCTGAAGTTGAGGAGCCAAATGTTTCCCCTGAGAATTATTTATTGAACTCAGGTAAAGGGATTAACTGCTTCATAGGCCACATTGGTAGTGCCTGAGTTGATACCAGTTCTTTTCTGTCCTAGCTGTTGTAGGTGGCAACAACTTACGACTCCAGAAGTGATTGATGTTGAGTTGGTCTTTAGCCAAAACCCTTAAGAGAAAGGGTGGAAATTTTCAAGGGGGAGGATACCTTGAAGATCTGGGAGAGGTAACTCTGGCTGTGCGTTTGAGGGGGCAACATACTGAATTCCTTTGAGTTGAGACAAACAGATTGATGAAAAACTCTTTTCTCTTATGGAAAAGCATAATCTATTAACCAAGGCAAATGTATATTTTACAATGGATAATACACAGATTTAGGACAATCTAAAAGGGACTTTTATGGAGTTATTTTTTTGGGGGGTGAATGGGGTTGTCTTGCAATTTTTATATATTATTCCTTAAATCTCTCTTCCGTCACAGTGTTATATTTTATCAAGTATCAAATTTCATGCAGCTGTGTTTCAAATTTTTTTCTTCAATACACCACTATATATATTTTTCTTATTTATAATGTTGCATATTTTTCTATGACAACACAATTATCTTTTTCAACATTTTTCATAGTAAAAAAAAAATCTTAAGTTTTAAATGTGATATACTTCCAAAATGGAGATAAACCTGTCTAGTTGGTAATTTATGTTGCAAAATAAAGAGATATTCTTGAAGCAGCTTAAAACAGCCTCTAAATAAATTGGGGGGAATCTTGGATAAATCAAATCACTCCCTCAGCTCCACTCAGAGTTTAGTCATTGTGGAACTGAGTTAGCTTAATAGTAAAATTATTCATACAAAAACCAATTTTTGATAGACCCATCAGGGAGCCCTGGTACCATAAATTCCAAGCTAAATTGTCTATTTAAATGAAGAGCCCTCTTGTGACTAAGGTAAACAATTAAGAGAGGACTACTGTTTTTAATGTAGCAGATGTCCCTGGTTGAAAACCCTCTCACCTACAGCAAAGTAATGGAACTAGTACTATAACTAATAATACATTACATTTGTACAGCACATCACACTTTCACAAACATATAGTCAAAAAAAACCCCAAAACAAAACATTAAGTCATCACCAATATGATCTTGTAGGAGGTGAAATCATTCTGATGAGAAAATAGGCTATGTGAATTGTTTGGTCTCCTGTGCAATAAATGGCAAAGTATAGACTCAAGCCTAAGTCTTTAGGTCTACTCCATTTTGCTCAACACTGCAACTGCCTTTCATAAGTGACATAATTTTTATGAATGGGTTAAGGAAAAGATAAAACTCTAAAAATGTATAGTTACCTATTACTGGTAGTGTATGTAAACTCTGAGAGTTTATATCGTTATGTCAATATGACGGAAGACCCTATATCTCATTCTCCTTTCTATCCACTCTCCAATGAAAGAAAAGAAAAATAGAAAGCAAATGAGAGAGAGAGAGAGAGAGATTGGCCCAGTTGGTAAAACCTACTCAGTGGTTAATGTGGATCATAGAAAAATCTATCAAATTAGGTTATGCATTTGAAAAAGTTAAGAAATGATTCAAATAGTTTATATAATGGTCAATTTATTTAGCAAGAAATTAGAGTTTATGATAGAATTTGTTATGGTTCCAGAGAAACTTCCCAATGAGGCTACTGAAAATTGTTTGGCAATATAGTAACCTAGTTTAAATAAAAAAATAAATATATTGATTTAAAGTATACACATGGCACTGCAATATCCAGTACTGTAGAGAAATATTTAGTTAAGCTTAAAGAATAATTTTAAATTGTTTTATTTTGGAATTATTTTGTTTCTAATTTCAAGATAAACACTTTCTTCTATACACCTTTCCAAGAGGTTTGATACTCATTTTTTAATCCACACTTACTTTGTTGTAAAACTTACTAGATAAATATAACATACTTGCTGAGTGTTTCATCTGTGCAGACTACTATTTATGGAATTATGATGGCTAATTTAATGTGTCAACTTGACTTACCCATGGAGTGTCTAGACTTTGTATCAAACATTATTCTGCGTGTATCTGTGAGGATGTTTCTGAATGAAGCTCATTCACATTAGGGAGGGAGATGTTTTACGCAGTCTAATATTCAAATGTTTGTAATTGAGTCTTGAGAGTTCAACATTATTCTTAAAAATTAAAATTACTTATATTTTAATAATATCAATACAGTATTACAAAAACATTATTATAGCAAGACCTTTCCTCCTTTGCTTTATTTATAGTAGATACTAAAATAACTGAAGAAAGGGAGTTAAGTGAGACAGCAGTAATGTGCTTTTTGCACATCCCGCTTTAACATTCAGTTTCAGCCACATAAGAAAAGGAAGACAAGTTCATTTTGAGCAACAAAAAAATAATTCAAGCTGTTTATCAGAATGTGTTTTGACAGTGAGAGTAAGATAACAGACAGGAAACTTAATACTTAGTTTAAGAATTTAAGTAAATTAACAGGTAGTTTTCATGTTTGGCTTTTGTGGTAGGATCATTCTTTGAACTATATAACTGATGTTCCTATAGACTATATGGCATCTGTATTTAGCACATAGGAATATAAATAGTATGATTCAGTAACATATATTAAACCGTCAATCCATTATAATATAATTCTCCCAATAATGCTATAGTTTGAGGACTTTGTTTGAAACTTCAAATTTTGAACAATGACCAAGGATGGGAAAAAGAGGGAGAAAGTTTTACCAGGAAAATTTAGAGAATTCAAATATTGGAAAGTTTAAAAATTTAAGATCTGTATTAAATGTTAACAAAATATTGTTTATATGCCTCTCAATCATAAACTCATAATGTTAATTTTATTTTTAGATGTGATTCTCTATTGTTTGCTTTTATGTACTTGCCTTTTTGTTTTTGAATCTTAAATAACCATAGCAATTTTCTTAGCTTGAAAGATTTATCTTTTTGATCGGATTTTACAGAAAGATCCATCTCATATTTTTCCTGCTTCAGAGGTTCAAAAGTTCATTTTCTTTTTTTTAAAGATTTTATTTATTTATTTATTTATTTGACAGAGAGAGAGAGAGAGAGAGAGCACACATGCACAAGTAGGCAGAGGGAGAGGGAGAAACAGGCTCCCTGCTAAGCAGAGAGCCTGATCCCAGGACCCTGGGAACATGACCTGAGCCAAAAGCAGCCGCTTAACCGACTGAGCCACAGGTGCCCCAAAAGTTCATTTTCTTCTTTGCATCAGGGAATTATTAGCATTAATGGTAATTTAATATCCTCTGACTACTTTTTCTGGTCTCCCTGTAATCTATATTTCATGTCACTATAATTTGACTGAATAAAGATAGTCTTATCCCATCCAATTTTAAAAGAATTAACACATACAAACATGTTCAGGTAATTTATTATAATTACTTATAGAATTGAGAAGGATTTTAAGTTAGTTAAGTTAAAGGATTGAACTACAAGTTGTTTTTAACCAAAATAGATATTTTTGTTAAGACATAAAATATCCATTCAGTAGAATTGGCTGATTTTGATAGTTCTTAAGCTCTTCCAGTTAATATTGATATATTAATTAGTTTTTGTTCTTATTGAATGTTTTTTATATTGAATTCTTTTTCTTATTGAATGTTATTTAACTTTGATTAGAAATCATAATGTATACAATTTTAGAAACTAAAGTTCTGATATTACAAAAAATCAAGGACAAGAAACAAATGATCTGATTAAAAAATGAGAAGATATGAATAGATATTTTTCCAAAGAAGACATATAGATGGCCAACAGATACATGAAAAGATGTTCAACATCAGTCATCATCAGAAAAATACAAATGAAAATTACAATGAGATATCACCTCACACCTGTCAGAATGGTTAAAACTAACAGCACAAGAAACAAAAGATGTTGTTGAGGATGTGGAGAAAGGGGAACCCTCTTACACTGCTGTTGGGAATGTGAACTGGTGCAGCCACTCTGGAAAACAGGATGGAGGTTCATCAAAAAGTTAAAAATAGAACAGCCCTATCATCCAGCAATTGCACTACTAGGTATTTACCTAAATAATACAAAAATACTAATTTGAAGGGATGCATGCCCCCTGATGTTTATAGCAGCATCATCAACAATTGCCAAATTGTGGAAAGAGCCCAAATGTCCATCAGCTGATGAATGAATAAAGAAGAAATAGTGTGTGTGTGTGTGTGTGTGTATTACTCAGCCATCAAAAAGAATGAACTCTTGCTATTTGCAACAATGTGGTTGGAGCTACAGAGTATTTAAGCAAAATAAGTCAGTCAGAGAAAGGAACATACCATATGCCTTCACTCATGTGTGGAATTTAAGAAACAAATGATCACGGGGGGAAAAAAGAGAGACAGACCAAGAAACAAACTCTTAACTATAGAAAACAAACTGATGGGTACCAGAGGGCAGGTAGGTGGGAGGATGGGTTAAATAGGTGATGGGGATTAAGGAGTGCACTTGTGATGAGCACCGGTGCTGTATGTACATGTTGAATCACTAAATTGTACACCTGAAACTAATAATGCACTGTATGCTAACTAACTGGAATGTAAATAAAACCTTAAATCAGGGATGGGGCGCCCGGGTGGCTCAGTCAGTTAAGCATCTGCTTTCGGCTCAGGTCATGATCCCAGGGTCCTGGAATCGAGTCCCACATCAGGCTTCTCCCTCTCCCTTTGCCTGCCTCTCCCCCTGATTGTGCTCTCTCTCTCTTTTTCTCTCTGTCAAATAAATAAAAAATCTTTAAAGAAAAAGAAATCACGGACAGTAGATTTTCCTAATACTGCGGATATGACTTGAAATATGTCCTTATATGATTTAATTTTTTGCAGTATTCTCATTTCTCCAAGATTTGAGATTTAATTAAACCTTTTCAGTTTAAAAAATGAGAAACTTGCTTGAGTACAGCTCAACCAAATATTTTTATCTAATATCCACTATGTGCAAGTCATTTGCAAATAAATTTATATTGCTCTTCAATTTTATCCCAACATCATAGTCTTTACATTGGAAAGGCTGTGTGCATATATATACACACACTCATACATTATATATTTATATACACATACACATATGCACATGTACACATACATATCAGTAAACAAATCAGCAAGTTAGATATTGTGTTAATATAATATTACTACAAGTTAATTTGAAATAATTTATTTTACCATTGTGTACTTATGTGCCACACTTAAGAGCTCTGTACAGCCCTGGGCATCTCCAAATGATCGAATTCCTAAGCAGTTTGAAGGATGGAGCTGCTTTATGAGATAATTGGAGCAGACTTCAACGACTTGAGTCAGCTGCAAGAGACAAGCTGCAGCCAACAAATTTTCAATAGTATCTTCTTTTAACTGCAGAACACCTAGATGGTTTGAAAAAGTAAAGAATGATTATATGTCCCCAAAGTAAGACACATATGTGCTAACTAGTTGAATTTTTCAATTTCTCTCATTACTAGGGCTATCATTTCTAGTGCACAGTAACCACTATGGGAATACTTTTAAAAGCCAACATATGCAAGGGAGTCTGTAAAAATATTAATAAGATGGCTGAAGGGAGCCAGACTAGATTATCAAAGACAACTGTAGCAAATGAACAGTGAACACCTTTATTGCAAAGAACAGCAACTTGTTATTTCTTTGTCATCTTAGACCTCATCTAAATCTTATATCTACATCTGAAACTAATGATGTACTGTATGTTGGCTAATTGAATTTAAAGAAAAAAGAAAAATCTACAATTCTTTCACCTAAATAAAATAAATAAGTAAACATATAGATAGATAGATAGATAAATAAATAAATAATAAATCTTATATAAAAAACTGTAAATACTATGACTCAAGGAGTATTTTGTCATATTGTACAACGACCATACAGGTAATTATCATTTGTATGGAAAAATTTTTGATAACTAAGTAGAGCATTGAGGTTATATGTCTATATTTTTGTGTGTCTGTCTGCATTTATTAGCTGATAAGGATGAATTTGCTCAGATATTATGCCTGGAACTGATACCTGGTATTGTCTCAAAAGAAAAATAATATTGCTAACAGTCCTCAAATAAATGTTTGTATGATCATTTTCTTAGGTATAAAAAACTGGCTCTGTTTGAAAATATCTGTGAAGAGATTTTTTTTAATGAGATCAGAGCTATTTAAGCTATTTCCTTTATATTGAAATATAATATATATATATATTTAAATATATATGTACGCACATACATATAAAATTTTCAAAGGAAGCATTGTTGATGACTTTTTGGGAATGTAAGTTATTTTGCATTTTGTTATATTCTTTTTTTTGTTTTAGCCAAAGTATAAGTAAGTTATAAAAAATGATATTTCATATGGAGTATATGTACTATAAACTATTTCTTTATATTTTCTCCTTGTAAAATGCCTTAATATGGATTCTATATGGTTTTATAAGCATAAATGAAAGAGTAAATACATACTGTGAGATGCTCTATATCTGTTTCAACCTCTAAAATATGTGGTGAAATGGTCTTGTCCATCAGCAGACTTTCTTGAGTTGTTTGTTTTTTGTCATGGATTTTGAAGGGAGAGACCTGCCCATATCTCATGAGACCCAGAGAAGTTATAAACTATTCTCAGATTCAGATCTAAGATTCACCTGCTACAGACATTGAAACTTGGCCTGGTTATTCAGGAGAATATTAATTTCTTAATGAACAAAATCATAAAACTCTTTGAAGAAAACAGCAAAAAATCTCCTTGACATTGGTTTTGGCAATAATTTCTTGGTAATGCACCAAAAGACAGGCCACAAAAGCTAAAATAAACAAGTGGGACTACATCAAACTAAAAAGCTTCTGCACAGAAAGGAAATATAAAATATATTGAAAAGGCAATCTACAGAATGAGAGAAATATTGCAAACCATATATCTGATAAGGGGTTAATATCTAAAATATATAAAGGATTCATATAATTCAATAGCATGAAAACAAATAATCCAATTAAAAAAGAACAAGTAGGGGTGCCTGGGTGGCTCTGTTGGTTAAGTGTCTGCCTCTGGCTCAGGTCATGATCTCAGGGTCCTGGGATCCAGCCCTGCATTGGGGGCTTTCTGCTCAGCAGGGAGTCTGCTTCTGTCTCTCCTTCTGCTCCACTCACCCTCATGCTCTCCCTCTCTCTCTCTCAAATGAATAAATAAAATCTTTAAAAATAATAAAAAATAAGTAAAAATAAAAAAGAGCAAGTAACCTGGATCTTTTTTTTTTCCCCAGAAATGACATACAAATGACCAATAGGGATATGAAAAGGTGCTTAACATCACTAAATACCAGGAAAGTGTAAATCAAAATCAAAAGAAGGGATAGCCAATGTTGGTGAGGTTTTGGAGAAAAGAGAACCTTTATGCAGTTTGTAGGAATGTAAATTAATACAGCATTATGGAAAACAGTATGGTGGTGCGAAAAAAATTAAAAAATAAAACTACCATATGATCCAAAAACCCTACTCATGATTATATATACAAAGAAATGAAATCAGGATCTTAAGAGATATCTGCACTCCCATGTTTGTTGTACTATTATTTACAATAGCTAAGAAATGGAAACAACCAACCTAAATGTCCTTCAACAATTGAATGGATAGGGAAATATATCTATATTTTTTTTTCCTCTGATTTCTTAGAAATGGCAAGTAGATTGGTGGTTGCTAGGGGCTGGGAGGGGGAACTGGGGAGATGTAGGTCAAAGGGTGTAAACTTTCATTTATAAGATAAATAGTTGTGAGGATCTAATGTACAACATGGTGTCTATAGTTAATAATATGGTATTGGGTACTGTATACTTGAAAATTGTTGAGAGTATATCTTAAGCATTCTCACCACAAAAAAAGAATTAACTATTTGAGATAATGTGTGCATTAATTATCTTCATCTATGTAATCATTCCACTTGTGTATGTATAGCAAATCATCACATAGTATACTCTAAATATATACAATTATATTTGCCAATTATTGCTCATTAAAGTTGGAATATATAAATAAATACTTATTGGCTTCCAAACTCATCTTGTTACCTTTGTCTTATAGTTTGAGTAAATATGACTTTATTATTTCAAAGGAAGAGACTATGTCTCTAATATAGAGTTGGAATACTACAATTCTAGTTTTTACAAAAGAGAATGGGGGTGCCTAGGTGGCTCAGTTAGTTAAGTGTCCAACTCTTGATTTCAGCTCAGGTCATGATCTCTGGGTCTTAGGATCAAGCCCCCATTGGGCTCTGAGTGCTGAGCATGGTGTCTGCTTGAGATTCTCTCTCCCTGTCCCTCTGACCCTCTCCCCTCTCACATACTCTATTTTATATATATATTTAAAAAATGAGAATGTACCCACACCATTCAAGAGAGAGACAGACATGTCCTTGTATTTTTGTGTTAAAATAGCTTTATTCTCTCATGGTCAAAATTTTTATAACTTATTATTTACCTCCTATTCTTTTATACTACTGAATTTAAATTCTGATTCTGCCCCTTACTACCTTGTGAAAGTTACCTAACAGGTAGATCCTTCAGTTTTCTCATTTCTAGTTGGAATAATAATGTAGATTATATAATGTAGGGCTATTGTGAGGATTGAATGACTTAATACATGCCACTTTACCTGTGTAAGCATACTGCACCAAGGAATTAAGTGCATTAGGATCAACTCCTTCCATCCTGACCTCTTCTTGTTTGGCTTCAAGCACATCATTAGTAAACATTGCAGCAAAATAATCAGACACTGCGCTGAGAACCAACCTTGAAATAGGAATGTTTCATAGGAACTTAAATTAGTCAGTAGTTTCATTGAAAATCATGAAGTACAATCAGTAAGTTTGTAACACTGCTGAGTTTGTTATCTGCATGAATCTTGTATAGTTTGTAACATTGCTGAGTTTGTTATCTGCATGAATCTTGCAGAGTTTAGTAAAGTGTAGTGAAATTAGAAAGGTAAATTAAGTAGGTTGATTTTCTTTTGAGGGTTTGTGCTGTTTTACATCAATTTCTCTGAAGTTTGGCTCTTCTAAATATCACACAGGGAAATGGATCATATATGCTAATGCTTTTTCAATGTAGGAAGATAAAAATATATTCTCCTCAGCATTCTAATTTGTTTTCAGTGGACCAATTCATTCTCATTCACATGCTATACTCATGGAATTCAGATCTGTCTGCATAAGGATACTTACCGATGGGCTGGGATTCGGAGGTGTCCAGCAATAAGTAGTACATCACACAGTTGTTTCTCTTTCAGGTAGTTCTCCATTTTGTGGAGAGTTTGCTCTGCATGGTTTATAGCATGGAACTGCTCCTCAGATCTGTTGACATTCATTTCTTCAGGATTTTGTGTATCCAATCTGAAAGGTGGGTAAGAGGGAGAATATGGTTTATTCTCTTAGTGAGTGTGCAAATGTCCAGTGGAAATTTGGACACACCAACTTCTAAAAGAAATATACTGGATTAAAGTTAAATTAAAGTTAAATTAAAATTTGTCCTCCAATCACTATGATTACTGTCTAATTTTCCATTAAAGTGAAGTACCATAGTTCATAGTTATACTTGGAATGGAACCATAAATATGTATAGTTCCATTGAAGGGCTAGTGGTAATTTTTATATGCACAAACATAAATTTCAAAATGTTAGCCTCTTTCTTTGGTTTTTATTGGTATTACAATTATGCCATTAGGCATAAAATTGTAGTGATGATTCAAAATACATTTCAAATTTAATTATGTCCTGAAGCTTCTCCATGGAATACTCATTATGTGTTTCTTGAAGAATCTCAAACTTAAGAGTTCCATAAAATTCTTTACAATGTCAGCCCCATCAAAAAAATATACAATTTCCATCTTTTATATCTTTTTCCCATATTTATTGAGATATAATTGATATATAATATTGTGTGAGTTTCAGGTGTACAGTGTAATGATTTCATATATGTATATATTGTAAAATTATTACCACAATAAGGTTAGTTAACACATCCAGCACCTCACATAGTTACCATTTTTTATGTGTGTGGTGAGAACACTTAAGATCTAGGGTCTTAGCAACTTTCAAGTGTACAATACAGTATTGTTAACCATAGTCACCGTGCTGTACATTAGATCCCCAGAGCTTATTCATCTTCTTTTCTTTTCCAGATCAGTAGATTTTATTTTATTTTTTTTAAATTTACATTCAAATAGCCAACATATAGTACATCATTAGTTTCAGATGTAAAGTTCAATAATTCATCAGTTGCATATAACACCCAGTGCTCATCACATCATGTATCCCCCTTAATGCCCATCATGCAATGACCCCACCCCCACCCACCTCCCCTCCAGGAACCCTCAGTTTGTTTCCTGTAGTTAAAGAGTCCCTCATGGTTTTTCTCCCTTTCTAATTACTTCCTATTCAGTTTTCCCTCCCTTCTCCTATGATCCTCTGCAGTTTCTTATATTCCACATATAAGTGAAACCATATGATAATTGTCTTTCTCTGATGGACTTATTTCGCTCAGCACAATACCCTCCAGTTTCATCCACATCGATTCAATTGGTGGGTATTCATCCTTTCCGATTGTTGAGTAATATTCCATTGTATATATATATACCACATCTTCTTTATCCATTCATCTGTCGATGGACATCTTGGCTCTTTCATCTTTTTTTGTTTGTTTTCTATTTTTTAATTTTTTTATTATTATGTTCAATTAGCCAACATATAGTACATCATTAATTTTTGAAAGAGTGTTCAACGATTCACTAGTTGCACATAAACCCAGTGCTCATCACAACATGTGCCCTCCTTAATACCCATCACCCAGGTACCCCATCCCTCCACCCCCTCCCCTCTGCAACCCTCAGTTTGTTTCCTGGAGTCTAGAGTCTTTCAGGGTTTGTCTCCCTCTCTGATTTCTTCCCATTCAGTTTTCCTTCCCTTCCCCTATGGTCCTCCGTGCTATTCCTTATGTTCCACATATGAGTGAAACCATATGGTAATTGTCTTTCTCTGCTTGACTTATTTAACTTAGCATAATCTCCTCTAGTTCCGTCCATGTCCATGCAAATGGTAGATATCCAGCCTTTCTCATGGCAGAGTAATATTCCATTGTAAATATGAACATATCTTCTTTGTCCATTCATCTGTTGAAGGATATCTTGGCTCCTTCCACATTCCAAAGATACAGATGTAGTGAAAACAAGGGGCACATGCACCCCAATGTTCATAGCAGCAATGTCCATAATAGCTCCTTCATCTTCTAACTGGAAGTTTGTACCCTTTGACTATTTAAGCAAATATGATGACTGGTGAATTTACAATGAAGAAAGTTGTCTACATGTTTTTTCAGCAGCACACAATGGTGGAATTTAAATATTAGCACAAGCATAGAGAGGCTTACAATCAGTAGAAGCTTAAATACTTAATGCTTGGATGAACATACTTAATTTTTTTAATATTGTCTTTCTTGCTTTTAGGCATCATTTTCCAACCGCCATTAGTTTTAGTTTCCCCCACCCCCAACTCAGCCTGTGTTTCTTTTAAGATAATTGGTCCAGGGCAACATTACTTTCTGTTTAATTTAAATAAATGATTCGTCTCCGAATCTTCTTTTTTTTAATCTCTGAATTTTCTTAACCTTTAAAGACTCTTTTGGACATTCAGTCACAGTATTACATGGATGATTAAGGTAGCATAGTATGAATATCCTTAAAAATTGTCTGCTACAAAATATATTTGTTTTTGAGAGGAACAATACTTTCTCACCATAGGCAAGAAAGCATTCAGGTTTCACTTAACTCAGTTAAGTTAAGGAAACCTAATCTTTCCTCTGCTCAAGTAATGGCTTGATTTACATTGAGTCAATCAAACATCAATGTCATATTATCTTAGCTTTCCTCATGTATACTCCATCAATTATTGAAGAGGATCATATTCTAAAGGAGGAATATATTTTGGGAAGTTTTGGCCAGGAAATAATTTTATTCTGTGAAATTTCTTCAGCCTAATTTGGTTAAGGACAAAAAAATCATCTTTAATTACTGACTAGTTTGGGATGTGTTTACTTGGGCACACAAATTTATTAGATATCTGCAGTATTTTTTATAATTAAAATACTGATTTTTAGAATCAAAATCCTATCAACATGAACCACACACAATTTTGTTATGTTTCAAAAGACAGAGGCAACTGTAGCTTGTGTCTCATTAAGAAGTAAGAAATTAGTACACAAAGAAATATGGATATATCAATTTATTGCATCCAAAATATAAAATACATATTAAGCTAAATATATAAAATATTATAATCTATTCTTGGTCATTATCTAAGCAGACTGTAATAAAACAAGTCAAGCAAGCAAACAAACAACAACAATTAAACTATTGAAACATAACCCAATCTCAATGAGTTCCCAGAGCTCATAAATTACAATTCTCTTGCCTCCATTTTAAATATTGTGATGTCAGGTCAGATGTTATAATGGAAGCCAATGCATCAGAGAATGTTCTTCCTTTTTCTTTATTGTATGATATCTACAGATGGTGACATGGGAAGCAGCATGCTGAAATGAAAAAAGCATCAAAATGCCTAGATTTAGTTCCTGCCCTTGTATACAAGCTGAGTGATCTTGGGCAAGTCACTTTATCTTTCTAAGCTTTAGTTTTCTCCTATAAAATGGAGATAAAAATAATACTATTACAAATACTACCAACAGTAATGCTTATGTCACAGGGCTCTTCAGATGATTACATGAGAAAATGTACGTGAAAGTCTCTGTATAAATGTTAAATTTTGTGTTAAGTTCATTCTAACTACCAAGATGTAGTATTTCCATAAATATCTTTAAAATATTTTCATATGGAACTGTTAATCATTTAATTAATATACTTCAATTTTTAGAACAGTTATAGAATTATATAAAAAAAAACTTTGACAAGTACAGAGAATTCTTTACTTTTGGTTGTCATAACTATGGAAGGGTGTTACTGGCATAAATTGGTAGAGGCCAGAGATATTAGTAACACCCTATAATGCACAGAGCAGCCCTCTACAATAATTGTTCAGCCAAAAATTTCAATGGTTCCAAGTTTGAAACACCCTGGTCTACCTCTTAATTCTATAGTTAGTTTTTAAGAACTTGAAAGCAGAGGCTATATTTAAAAAACAATAATAAAGGATGCACCTAATACAATATTTTGTACACAATTAACGTGTAATCACTGATTTAATAGTTAAGTGTAATATCAGTGACTAAATATGAAATCTTGCCATTTGCAATGACTTGGTTGGAACTGGAGGGTATTTTGCTGAGCGAGATAAGTCAATCAGAGAAAGACATGTATCATATGATCTCACTGATATGAGGAATTCTTAATCTCAGGAAACAAACTGAGGGTTGCTGGAGTGGTGGGGGGTGGGAGGGAGGGGGTGGCTGGGTGATAGACATTGGGGAGGTTATGTGTTATGGTGAGCATTGTGAATTGTGTAGGACTGTTGAATCACAGACCTGTACCTCCGAAACAAATAATACATTATATGTAAAAAAAAAAAAAGGAGAAGAAGAAGATAGCAGGAAAGGAAAAATGAAGGGGGGGAATCGGAGAGGGAAACGAACCATGAGAGACTATGGACTCTGAGAAACAAACTGAGTGTTCTAGAGGGGAGGAGGGTGGGGGGGATGGGTTAGCCTGGTGATGGGTATTAAGGAGGCCACATACTGCATGGAGCCCTGGGTGTTATACACAAACAATGAATCATGGAACACTACATCAAAAACTAATGATGTAATGTATGGTGATTAACATAACATAATAAAAAAAACTAATGATGTATGGTGATTAATATAACAATAAAAATTAATAAAAAATAAAATAAAATATGTTCTGATTTAACAAAAAATATTCTACATTAACTTTTTTTTTTAATATGGCAAAATGGGTAAATTCATTGAGTTTAGACAATAAGGAGGGGAATATGGGCAATCATTACAAAGAACCATTATTGTTAATAACATTTTACCATACCAAAGAACTATTTTAGACCAAAATTTTTAGAATAGTTTTAAATTTACAGAAAAGTGGAAATGATAATAGAAATTTACAGATCCACACTCAATTCCCCCTCTATTATTAATATCTTACATCAATATGTTACTTTTTTATAATTAATAAACCAATACTGATATGTTATTATTGACTAAAGTCCATACTTTTTTCAGATTTCTTCACTTTTTACTTAATGCCCTTTTACTATTCCAAAGTCTGTATATCTTGCAATAACTTCTTCATTTACTCCATTACTGCCTTCATTTCTACTTAAGTTAATTTTCTTGTAATGAAATGTTTTAATTCCCTCCTCATTTCTAATTG